TCCTCAAAAAACTATTAGGACAAAAAGAAATGTATTGGGTGTTCCTTTTAAAAAAAAAACTCTTACCCCTGAAGAATTAAATGTAGATTTGGACTATATATTTTTTATTTTATTTTATTTTTTTAAACTTTTTTGAAATTCTTTTTTTTTAAGCCTATACTTTTTTCAATTAAACTTCTATATATTTTTACATATACACATTTATTTATTCTGTAAGTAACCAGAAGTATTTTTACCTGGTACTAGAATTTTTTAACTTTCCAGTGAGGATATTACTCCTAAGAATCCTAGGTGGTGATTATACCACTCAAGTTGTATTAATTGAGCAGTTAGCCTGCTCACTCAAATGTGAGTAACCACTTGTTATTTTATCATCTCACCTCTGGTTTTTATACTTTAAGCACTATTGCAGTTTCTTTTATTTTTTATATGGTTCCTAAATCAAGCAAGACTGCATAGACTTCACGTATCCTAAAAGTTGGGATTGTACCACTGTACACTATCAACACTAGAGCTAAGTAGATAACTATCAAACGTGAATAGGACACGTATAGATTTTCTATACTGTATCTAGCCCCTATTTGGGACATAATGCATCATTTGTTGTCACTTATCTATTTCATATCACATTGAGGAATACACATACTATCAAGATTGTGCCATCTTCCACAGACCGGTTTTAGTTTTGGATTTATCCACCTCAGACCTTTTAGCTATTGTGTATATTTTCTGCTATTCCAGCTTGACATATGTGATTGTAGTAAACTACCTTTATATTTTAGTGGCGCTACCTTTCTTTTATCTGTTTCTATGTATGTCATAGAGCCTGTGAAGAAGCCCTAGTTTTAAGTGTGCTTCCACCACTTTATTTTTGTTGTGTGTTATTTAGGTAGAGAGCGCTGATCCTTTTTTCTGTAAGGGCACTAAGACCCTGCATAAAGCACTGAAACAGCATTCCCTGCTTGATCTTCCCTCAGTGGACAAGCCTCTGTGGCTGGTTAACATTTTCTAAAGGCTGACCTGTCAGTACTTTGGACGGGCCTGCCCAATTCAAGGCAGGTTCATCCCATTTCCTTCTAAGCTCTTCTTTAAACTACCTGAATAGTTTATTCCATGCTTCTCCACCACTAGTCTTTGGTTTTTTTTGTGAATCTTTATTTTTGTTGTGCACGAAGTAACAATGAGCTTGTTCAGCCACAACAGCAGTCGCAAGCATATTGTTGACAGGATGCAGGTTGGAGAGGTTGGGTTGTGTGGCCACCCCATGGGTGAGAGAGTCCTGTGGTAGGCCCAGAGTCCGTAACAGGGCTGCAGTGTCTTGGATCTGTTGTGAGTCCAGCCCATGTTGTATTATGAGCGTTCGGGAGAGCTAATCTTATGTCGTTGAAGCAGGGAGGTGAGTGGTCAGAGTGACCTGCACCAAGCATCAAGTTCCACTGGACAGGTCAGCGAAGAAAGTCAGCTCCATGGTCTTGAAGTGTAGAGGCATTTTTCCCCGTAGGGCAGAGAGGACTGCAGCTTTGTCTTTTCCGTCACGGAAGGGGACTATGACGTCCCTTGTGGCCGTGGTTGGTGCTCTTACAGGTTTTGGGACCCGAAAGAGGTCTTCAGGAGTAGTTGCTTTGACCTGCCTGGGCGGCAATATAGCCATTAACCGACGCCTCATGACATGCAGCAACTCCGTGTCTGGCACGGCTTCTGGGACCCCTTTAACATTCAGATTGTGTATACGTCTGGAGTCCTCCTGAGCCGCGAAGAGGGCGTTCATTCTGCTGGGTCTGCTGCCGCAGTTGGCGTATGGCCTGCTCTGGGTGTTAGCTTGTGACCAGCGTGCTAATGCGGCCTTTCTGGCCTTGTAAGTCGCCTCGTAGCGCTGTGACATCTGCGAGGATGTTCTTTTGCAGGTCTGCCAATAAGGTTTTTAAGATCGCTGTGGTTACCGGCTCGGAGTCTGCATCTGTCTTGCTGTGTTTTGCCATCTGCGTTGGAGCTGGAGCAGGTAAATACTCTTCGTCTGGGTCCCCAGAGAACTCATCTGAGAAATCTGAGCAGCCGCCATGCTGGGTCTGCTGGCGCCGTGCGCTTGCCTCCACATCTGATAGTCAGCCCCGGGGTGGGTTTGCCTGGTACCGTTTCATGTGGCTTCTGGGCAAAAAACTCCACCACATTCCTGGAGACCCGTCCATTCATGTATTTCTGCTAACTACTAACTAATTTAAAATTGAGAGAGATGGCTATTCATACATAAAGATTTTCTGTGTACCATAGACAAATGTGAATTGGATTAGAAAATGACCATTATATCTTTGTTTATATAACTGTTTCTGTTGTAGAGTACTGTATAATCGATATATATGCTCAAAACTCATCCACCATCCCCTTTTATACTAAGCTACTAATTCATTGTTGGCCACCACAATTAAAGAATGTAAACTCCCCCAATTTGACTGTGACCAATTAATAATTGGGGGAAACTTGAACATGGTCTTAGACCCATGTATTGACAGGTCACATAGGCAGGGGCGACTGCAATGGAAGATAACTCTGGCCTATGACTGTGTCATATTGGTGATCTTCATGAGCCGCGGCATCTCTCTTATGGAACAGACACAGACTATACATATTCTTAGGTCCATAAATCACAATTTAGAATAGACACGTTTTTGATCTCTGCATCTAAATTTTCCCTGCCTTGACAAAATGACCATTGTATCTGTTGCTATTTGTGACCACACTGACCTTAAACTCCTTAATGGCCCAGCTCTACACTCCACTCTGGAGCGGCCCAATCCATTTAGCCCATCCTTTCAGATTCACCTTCTAGTCACACTGGCAAAGGGTCGGAGCAGGGATTCTTCTCTACACAGGCAAAGATGCATTTTGCCACCACCAAAATTAATCTACACTTGTGTGTCTATTAAAGCAAGTTATGGCTACAAAGAGCAAAACATTTTTTATTCACAGCCATTAATAAATATATAAAATCAAAGGGCGGGTAATATAAACAGTTATAGGCTGTACAAATAGCCCCTACTCATTTGTTACTACCACCCACCCCCTGCCCAGGTAAAGTGCGAGGTAACTTCCCCTTCTAATTAAACAGACCATTGTATTCCCAGGATTAGGGAGCTTCAGGGCATACAATTGTCTGTTTAATTAGAATGGGAAGGGGCAGGAAGCACCACAGGTTAATAGTAGGAGCCTGATGCATGTCCTGAGGAATTGAGCATTTTCTGGTCTTATAACCTTTAAAAAACCACTTAACTCTGTATCATGTGTTCCACGTATTCAGATTATTCAACATTTAAGTAAACTTCACACATAGAATGAATATTTGTTGTAACTTTAACTGACAAGTAGCTACCCCAGGCTAGTTTCCTCAGCTAGTAAGTTGCTCTTTAAAAGCACATTTATAAAAAAAGTTATTTAGACACATGATTTTCTTGTTGTTACTGGTCTTGAGAA